GATAATTACCTTCATCTGGCTTTATGCAAACACCTGACTTGGAAGTGCCCCCTTACTGCTTCGGGGTATAATTCAAATTGTACCTCAGATTGTAAGGCTATGTTTTAGTCATGGGTATTTTTAGTAAAAGTCATGGACAGGTCATGGGCAGTAAACAAAAATTCATTGTCCATGACCCGTCCATGACTTTTACTATATTCCCCTGACTAAAACTTGGGGCAGGGTGCGTTGGGGGGGGTGGGGGCGGCCCAGGGGATGCCACAAGTGCTCATGGGGTAAGGGTGCGGCGCAGCCTAGGGAGGGATGCCGTGGGTGCTGGCGGGGGGTTGGTGGTGCAGACTCCCTACCCAGCTTCTGGGAAATAATGACCTCCAGCTCCTAGCTCCACGTGCTGCCTCTGCTCCGCCCCAAGCCCCAGTTCTGCAGCTCCCATTGGCTGGGAACCACGGAATCCGTGACTTCCGTGACCAACACAGAGCCTTAGTTATGAGCACAGTTTTCTATATACAGAAATATATAGATTCATAACTACAGTCTGTATATGTATCTCATGATCATCAAGTTCAGAACATTACAAGCTTTCATAAAAGACCTTACTCAACATATTTTTGTACACAATAACGTATACAACTAGTTGATTCAATTGCTTATTCTTTGGGATTCAGACCTGCTGTTCTCTCCTGGGGGTGTCAGGACTTTGACTGTCAGACACGAGCTTCCTACGTTGCTGGAAAATCACCAAACAGTTGTGCACAGACTCAGTGTTGGACTAATATGGTAAAGAGCCACTCTGTCCAAGAAGGAGAATGTAATTAGAGAGAGTTTGCATTGGCAAGTGTGTGAATGTAGTGACCATTGCTAGGTTGGGTGCATAAATGCCCAGCTAAATCCCTGACCCTAGGTCCTGCCCTATCACAAATTTTTATAGCATCTATCACATGGGAGTTGAATAGTGGCTACTCTAGAGTTTGAGGCAGGGAGCCAGACTACGGCAGAAAACCTCCGATAACATTATGATGACACTGTTATTGAACTCTAATATAGATATTTTCTGTCAAATCTTGGCTGATCTTAACATAAAATGGGAAATACAGCTGGGAGAGCTTTGCTGTTAAATCGATGAGTATCAAAGTGGGGAAGAAGATGCGTTTATTTTACTTTGACTTTATTTTCTCATTTTCCTGAGTGGTCAGTGCCCTATAATGGCAGAACCACTGCTGAATTGTATTGAAGTCTTCACCGCAGAACCAGCATAATAGCAGCAGGATAGGCTGTGTTGTTTCCTGACTTGTGTACAAATGATTGCTGCTCTCAGAATTTGGATAGCTGATGATGCATACAGAAGTAAAAACACACCTTGATTTTCAAGACAACAGATGGAGCTTGCAATAGAGAATTTGTTTGTCAGATGGACAAATCTGTCTGATAGACAGCACTCCTTGACAATATTGCTTGTCAGATACAAAAATGTTTTTTAGACATGTAAGCAAAATGTTTTTTATATTAAATTCTCAGAGAGAAAATAAAATATAGAACCCTATAGGGTAATTCTTTCCAATCCCATTCTTTAATCAGAAATACTGGAAGGGCATGAAATATGTGTAACAAGAGAAGAAAAGGGGAAAACTTGATCTTTTTGCATTTCAACCCTATTCAGAACCATAGTTCTGAATTTTCTGCATTTTACTAATGTTTAAATCAAAAGGGGCCCCTTTTCTATCACATGGGCAAAGTGAATTACTATGTTGCCAATTGAGCTAGATGCAAAATACTTTCAGCAGTTATTCATTTTAATTTTTAAGTGAATTAATTGTGGGCATATTCCTTCCAGTTTTCTTTCCACTTTTGAACATTTCATTCTTACTGACACAAATGATTCTGGAATTTGAATTTTAAAGATCCGTGTGCAAATATTCAGAGAAACTGTATTTTAGGCCCCAATTCGCAAGCCCTTGTGCATATACTTAACTTTATACACCAGTGAAGTCAATGGGACTACTCACAGGAGTAAAGTTACACAAGTGTTTACAGCATCTGGGTCTTAAATTTGTACATACACATATTCACCTCTGAAATGCTTACTTATCCTCTGGACCTAATTGTGAGCTAGTTGAAGTCAATGGAAAGACTTTAATAGACATTGATGATTAATCTAATAAGTACAACTTGAAGGGCAAACACAAATAAAATAAAATCCGTGCAGAGAACTATTTATAAACAATTCATAGATAGAATTTTTTTAAAATGTGTCATAACTTCAAATAAGAAATTCAAGGAAATCAAAGTTTGCTTGCAGATATTCCAGGAGCAGAAAAAGAAGTAAACTGTATTTCATAAATTATTTGTTGCAAAGTATGTATTTGTTCATTGCAAATCCACAACATGAAGAATTATTCCCTTTGCTCCATCTTTATACTTTGACATTAAAAATAGTTGCTGATTTTAAAAACCTTTCAAAAATTCTTTTTATTGATTTTAATTTTACTCCTAAGGGATAGTTTTCAGTATTGACCTTTGATTTAAAAATAGCTTTGCAATTTCATTTTAAATTAAGCTTCTCTGAGGTATATTTTTCTGTTTAATGTAAGTAACTAACTTAGTTGTATGCTTTTAAAGGGATTTACAGTGGTAGATCATATTTTTCCTGGGTCTTATATATCTTGGGATTAGGACATTCTCATTTATAAAAATAACTCACTTTTACAAGGCTGTTCAGTGCATTGGGTTCTATGTACTGTAGCTTGAGTTAAATTACCTGCAGATAATAGTCTTGTTAGATTCCTTGGGTTTTAACCCTATATAATTGGAGCCCATCATAATTGATCAGGACTTCACTGTGAACTGTGCTTTATTCACAGATTTCAAGAGGTTGCTTGATCTTGGGCATGAAGGGGAATTGTTTCAAGGATTTTGAGCTTGCAAATATTTGTCACAATCTATGGGGCACCAAAATAGTTGCAAGAAAATGTAAACAGAAAATTATCTTCTAATACTAATTAGCTTCTAATAATTCTAAAGTATGCTATTCCTCTAATGAATAGGGGAATTACACCCTACAGGTGTTACCATGGTAACCCATGTAAATTATGACTAAGCAAAAACGTACTGCTTGAATGCAAAAGTGAAAACAAAATTGCAAAGGGAGAGTCCAACTACCAGGGCTTGATTTCAATAACGTGTACATATACAATACACTATCTCAGTTTTTGGATATCCATGTATATAAAGCCAAACGTTTGTCACTAATACTGCTTTAAAAGCCAATCCTGCAAATGCTTATTCCTATTGGGATCCAGGAAGTGGGCGGGCAGAAGCTCGCACACTGCTAAAGGATCCCCCCCCCCCAGCCTAAGGGGGGATCCACAGGACCTGGAAGCCAAGTGATTTCGTGGGACAACTAATAAAATAACAGGAACAGAAGTGCGGTCAAAGGGTCAAACGAAGGGAATCTGATTGATGCTTATTAACAGGCACAGTGGTCAGTCTCAGGACTACTCCTGTCCTGTTCAATGGCCCTTAGAGGTTAAATGAGAACCTCAGTGGAGGGTCGCTCTGCTTTGCAGACTCCATGCTTGGGATCAGAGTGTCTCTCTTCTTGCTTTGTTGGTGGAAAGTGGTCACAGGTGACTAGGTAGCACAGGCTGGGTTATAGATGCTGTATTATCAACTCAAAAATGGCTTTAATGGGATTTTGCCTGAGTAAGGTTTAGACATGCAGTTCTATTTCAATGTAGCAATTGTTGAATTGTTTTTCACTTACAATGCCTGTCTTAGGAAGTAAAATTGATTGACTGCCTATTATATAATATTGTCTAAATACTACATCCTCTGAACTTATTTCATGTGATCACAAAAGGGGATGAATTTTCTTATTTGAGATGACTTACCAGGCTGAGAAATGCCATTAAATATGAAATTTGTTAGCTACCTTTTCTCATTTAAATGATCCCCAATAAATGCTGGACCAGGTGTTTCCACACAGGATGAAATGGTTCAGTAAGAAAGATCGCATCGTCTAAAGGCAAAATTTTGTGTCTCTGCAGTGGGGTCCAGCACAAGTCCCTCCTAATCTGTCATAGGGCCTGTCTGGATCCTCTGCACACAACAGTGAATTTCAACCAGTATGAGCAATTTCCACTGAAGTCAATGGGAGTTGTTCACTGCCAGCCTCAGGCAACCAGGACACTACAGTGCAGTTTCTGGTGTCTTTGGGGATCTTGGTTATGTTATGGAGTTTCTGTTTAACACAAAATACACTGTTTCAAGCATTCACTGCAATTGATTTCCATGTGTCACACCTGTCAGCACTGTAATAAAAGGTTGGCCACTTATTGCAAAGGTTTGCTAAATGTTCCTTACAGATTCAAAGCACAATCTGAATGTCCTCATGTACGCATAGATATAATAGTGATGGATCATTCTTATATACCACCTTCCATCTCAGGTTCAGAAAATACTTTCTGTCCTCACTATTGTACAGATGGGGAAACTGAGGTGCAGAGCTGCTAAGGGACTTGTCCAAGATCCCACAGCATGTCAGTATCAGGTATAGTATCCGGAGGTGAAACCCTGGTCCCAATGAAAAATTTCCACTGACTTCAGTGGGCCAGGATTTCACCATAGAGCTTTCTGACTTTGAACCCTGTTCTTGAACCAGGAGCCCTCTCTCTGCCCCCTATATATTCTGAAGAAAGAGCTCAGTTTCCATTTCCAAATTTGGAATAAAGCGGCATAAAACTTCTTTACAAGGAAGCATGTGATTCCTTTACTGCCATTATCCAGCGAGCACTTAGTGTTTTCAAATGCCCAGGCTAAGTGCCCATGGTTCCCAGGGATACAACCACAGACATAATATTATCCCTTAACTAGCATACGATAAAAAAGCTAGCATTTTTAACAGCCATCAGACATATAACATACCTTGAGAAGATGTATGTCTGTGAAGTTAAAAACATTTTTTGTCCTGGTTGATTAAACAGGCCATAAATCAAATACGTTACCTGTACAGTAACATCTGTATAAGAGATGGCCAGCTGCTGAAATATATCACCTCCCGTTCCCCAACAGACGTTAAGTGCAGTACAGAAGGCCTTCAGATTTGTCTTGATGTCTCATGTTTTGTGCTGCAAAATAATGAGATAATTCCGCCACAATGTCAGTTCTGCTGAGTAGAACTAATGAAAGCTACATTGTGATTAATCAGAGTTCAGTAGCCTTCTGCTTGTCTGTGCAGCTCTGTCCATTCATTCTGTGATCTCCTCCCTCATTGCTAGACTATGCTAATTGATGTTCAGTTCCAGCACCTCCTCCTTGCTTAGCTTTATTATACATGTCCAATTATTATGGCTTTATTTAGGATCCTTCCCTCCTTCAATTTGACAGAACAACCGCACAGGGAAAAGCTGCATTGATTAAAAAAATCTTTTTTTTTAATTGTCTTGGATGTTTAATCGATGAAACAATATTCCATGCAACTGTAAAAAGGCAACTTACCCAACTGAGAGACTGCAGCTCATGCTCCAGTGTAAGGAGTGAGGAGGGGGAAATCTTTTCTTTTTCTCTTTGTTTCTATTTGGATGAATTAAAATATTATGCACAAATTAAACACTTTAGTGATGATGAAAGGTACCAAAATGACAGCACTGGAGTCTGAAGTCCTCTTGTCCACTGATCAGGTGCAGCATTGTGCTGCTGCCTTTAAAACGTGGAAGTAAACGTATCATCCTTCAGAGTAAATAAGTGGGAGAGGGAGAACTAATGGTTACAGGACAGGGCGGAGTGTCCGGAGACCAGGGTTCCATTCCTGTCTCTGCCACAGCAGGTTTCTCAAACTGCCTCATCTCGGACCAGGAGAAATCACCAAGAGAGATGGAGCAGTGCTTTAGTCCAGTCTTTCTCCTGTCTGGTGACTGCGAACAAGGGTGCCAGGTGTGGTAGTGTTTTGTGCGGTGAGGGTCCTGTACCACTTGGAATTGGACTGAGGTCACCAAACGTTTCATGTTGTCCAGATGGTCTCCTCTTCAAGGAATGCATAATTTCATTGATTGAGGAAACTGTAGCCACCATTATCCATCAATCAGATATATTCAATAATCCTACCTAAATGTTCATTCAGTAGCAAAAATACCTATTACGGGGTGGGGGTGGGGAGGCATAGCTATCTACTTCTTTGTTTCTCTCAACTTTTCCAGCTCAAGTAAAGTGGATTTTGAAAAACAGTATTCAATGTTTTCGGCCTCCCAACTTACAGCTCTGAGCCCGAGGCAGCAAAAGATGATACAGGATACCCCTCCTGAAGTTTGTGCCGTAAGGTAAGTATCCATGTACAATCCACTCACTCGATCATGTCAGATTTTTCCATTGCCAGTGGCTATGACCTCAGTCAGTGATTCACCCTCTCTCAACTCAGTATGAGTTGCATACATCACATACGTTTGTACAGAGTTTGCTGCTTTCTCAAACAACAGATATCAGTTTGGCCTGCCAATGTGCACCCCACATACTTACCCACTTGTCTTAAATACATGTACAGAAGGGATCAATAGACACGCAGACCTCCACCTTCCTGAACTGAGGAGTTTGTAAACCATCTCTCCCTGCCCCACTGGGGCATCCCACTGTGCAGTACTTCATTCATGGGGACAGTTGAATGAATTCCTTGCTCCCCTACCTATTCTATGCACAGTAGTATTACTGAGAGGAAAGAGTATGGCACATTGCAGGAGCTGGTCCATAAGTGCCTGGCTTGCAAAATGAAATACCCATTTATGGACACACATGTGGGTTTTGAGGGGGTGTTTCTCATGCCCACTTTGAAAATTTGTCCCTTTACAAATCAATCATACGTTAATTAGCATATATTGCTAGGGTTCCCCAACCTTCCCTTTATTTTCACCTCTGATAAAGCTGAAAAATCATGATTGGATGGTAACTGAATTATTCTAAGACAACAATAAATTATTAAAAAAATTATTGGATCTTCTTCAGTTCCATTCTTCCAGGGCTTGCCAAGTGCCCCTTTCTAACATTAATTAACGGAGCCTCATCATACTTGTCTGAGGTAGGTCAGTATCATCATGATTGGTTTACCGATGGAAAAAACTGAGGCTCAGAGAGTTTGCAATTTGTCCAAGACAATGTGACAATGACAAAGCCAAAAATAAAACTCAGGAGACCTGGTTCTCAGTCCTCTCCTCAAATCACTCCCTTTTGCTGTTGCAGACATGTCTTTCCCGAAAGATCACGATGAACCAAAAATGTAGAAAATTCTAACCCGAGGAAAAAGCGATTGACATGATTTCTAACTATTATAGGCCCTCAAGGGCTGAATGTGATAACTCCAGCAAGGGATAGAGTCACTATATTTTTCAGTTCTCACCCAAACCACAGGTAAAATCTCTTACGCTACTCTCTTATGCCACTCAGGGCTGGTTTTTTACTGGTGTAGTTTCATTGCCTGCAGTGGACTTACCCCTGGTTTACACAGAGGAACGTGAGGGGAGAATGGGTTTTCCCATAGTGCTTCTCTCAAATTTTATATATGCATCTCTGAGCTTTTACCCATAAGCCCATTCTATAAAAGTGACATCAGAAAATAAATTGGCTTTTAGTCATAGATAGAAGAGGCTCTTTCCTTTTGATAGCTGGCTTCTGAATACTTGCGAGACCTTTAATATAATTTTTACCTTGTTAATAGAGAGAGGCAAATGCACCAGATCTGAACCTACAACTACAGACGTAAAAAACATTTGTGATAGTTCACCATGGCTCTGCCCTCAAAGGCCATTTTCATCAATATTTTATGTTTTGTAAAGCTTCAACTCTGTGTGTCCTCCCTCTACGGCAGTACTTCTCAACCAGGAGTATGCGTACGTCTGGGGGTACGCAGTGGTCTTCTGGGGGTACATCAACTCATCTAGATATTTGCCTAGTTTTACAACAGGCTACATAAAAAGTGCTAGCAAAGTCAGTAGAAACTAAAATTTCATACAGACAATGACTTGTTTGTACTGCTCTATATATTATACACTGAAATGTAAGGACAATATTTATATTCCAATTGATTTATTTTATAATGATATGGTAAAAATGAGAAAGTCAACAATTGTTCAGTAATAGTGTGCTGTGCTACTTTTGTATTTTTATGTCTAATTTTGTAACAATTAGTTTTTAAGTGAGGTGAAACTTGGGGATACGCAAGACAAATCAGACTCCTGAAAGGGGTACAGTAAGCTGGAAAGGTTGAGAGCCACTGCTCTCCAGCTCTCTGTGTGTATGTATGTGCGTTTAGTGCATTTCAGAGTTATAAAATAAAGCCTTAATAAAAGACTGGGGGCCAGATTCTCTTCTCACTTACACTTGTGTTTGTCAGGAGCAATGTTCCCTCTAATTTTTGACAGTCCATGTGCGCAAAAAATTTCTTCTGTGCAAATTGTTGTGCTTCTGTGCAAATTTTTGTGCGCGTGGTGTTTTGCCATCTGCGCGGGGTTTAGGATCTGTGTGTGCACACACAGCTTAGAGGGAACAGTGGTCAGGAGTAACTCCTCTGAAATCAACGGAGTTGCACTGGCATGAAGCCAGGCTGGAGAGGAGAATCCAGGCCCCTTTGTTATACCAATAAAATAAAAACCAGCAGGATCTTATTAAAGAAGAAAAGGCAAAATACCACATTTATTGTGAATACAGAAAGAATCATAGTAAGCAGTTAGTTACAGCTATAACATTCCATTCAATTTCATATTCACACATTCATTCGTACACACACAGGTTCTGCAAGGTTGTTATCATAGTTACCAGCCTTAGAGTTGCTCTTGCAAAGCCACTGGCCAGGTGGCCTGGACACGAGGAGGGAGCAGGGCCTTGTCAGATGCTCATCTGATGCTTCTGGAAGTTGGTTTGCGGAATCAGACCCCAAAGTTCTCACTTCCTAGAGTCCATTTTTATAGGAATTTCTTCCTATGCCAGTCTATGGGCATTGCTTCATCATGCTGTTGCTGAATCAATCAGCAGATGGCACATTCCTGACGGCTCCGTGCTGCCAGATGTTATCTTGTTCTTTGGTTCTCCTATTCTTGAGGCTGTTGGGTGGATTCCAGTCTGCCCTCCGGGGGTCCTCTGGTTATTTCCACTTGACGCCTTCTTCAGCCGATGGACACTGGATTCTTAGGCTGGCACCTCCCTGATCATTCAGTTATTATCCACACCAAGCATCCATCCACATACATCCTCTAGCTCTATTTTAATCACAATTGTTAACATAGCGAGATGAATACAACAAAAGGACGGGGAGTCTCTGGATGCTGTTTCTGTTGTTACAGAGTATTGCTTCGAGTCTCTCTCTGTGTGAGTAGTTGTTGTTACAAAGAATTGCTTTGAGAACAGACTGTGTCTTAGAATGTACTAACACAATTAGCAGCTTGCAAGTTTCACACATAGAGGGAGAGAAACAGTACCAAAAACCAAGAGACCTCTTAATTAGTAATACCCTGGAATTTAAACTATGGGGAATCAAACTCATTTGTGATTTTAATACAGAACTTCTTTAATATGATCCAACACCTTTATAGCCTTTATTTGTTGAATAAATGGAGTGGTGTCTTACATAACATGCTCTTCATCTGCTCATAAAGCAGCAGTTTTGATGGCAGCTATTACTGTATATTCCATACTGTGACATGAGCTCAGTCTGTAGAACTGATTTTCTAATGGAAAATGATAGATGATTGCTTTGCTGTTAAGATTGATTGCACTTTTGGGGCTAGATGAAATGAATATGTGGCCAATCTGAATGTCATTAATACTGTACAATGAAATGACAGGCCCCAATTGACTACGAAGTTAATGTCCCATACTGATCAAGCATCTAACTGGAGAAATAATCTTTTTTTAAAGCTATAGACATGGAAATCATTTTAATACCAAAAGCAGTTTATTGCCAGCTAATATACATTGGAACTTGGCATATTAACATCAGACATTTATCTGGGTATTTATTGTGAGTCAAATATCCTTGGCAAATTCCATTAACATAAAAGTATAGATGTATTCTCCATGTGTTAAACTATAATGGAAAAGTAACTGTTTATCTTCTGTTACTGTTACTGATTTCACTAACAGTTTTTTTGTTTGTTGATATGCATTGGAATAATTTCTCTGTCTAGTTAAACTCTGATTCACAATCCTATCCTTATTATTTTGGGATCATTTGACCAAATAAATATAGTCCATTTAGTATAGTATTCAG